GGCAGCTTAGGTAGAAATGGCTCCCAATGATTCCTATCTCATTGTGTATTCACCTCCCATCATGGGAGAGCTGGACCTAGAGACTTGTTTCTAATGAATAGAATATGCCCCAAATGATGGGATATCACTTCTGATATTAGGTTATAAAAGACTGTGACACCCTCTGACTCCTTTCATGTGCTTGCTCTGATAAAGCAAGCTGCCACGTGTGAATTGCCCTATGGAGCGGTCCATGTGTGAAAGAGGACAACAACCAATGAGGAACGGAGACTCAGCCTAATAGTTCGTTGGAGACTGAATCAATCTGCCAACAACCCTCAGTGAATGAGCTTGGAAGCAGACCCTTCCCAGTTGAACCTTTAGATGAGAACGCAGCCTTGTGAGAGACTTTGAAGCAGAGGACTTAGCTAAGTCATGCCTCGATTCCTGACCCATCGAAACTGCATTGTTTTAATTTGGGAGTGGTTTGTTAAACAATGCAACTAATACACATAGCTAACTCAGAGTCAGTGTGGAAGGAAACTATGTAAGGGTGTGGTTACAGGAAGGGTAATTATAGAAAATATTCTCCTATATTTGCAAACAATGTACCACAGATGAACTTTTTTTCCAGCCTGTGAAGCTTGACATGGAGTACTCTTCACTACTTCCACAATTATTTATTCTCTGTGATAAATAATGGGGACAGATGATGAATGAGACAGAGACCGGGTTCCTGCCCTCAAGAGCTTACGGTTTGTGGCAGGGGAAAGGATATGGGAAAAGACATTAACTCAATAATTCCTTCTGGAATGATTCATTTAAAGTTATAAGTGATATGAAGGGTGAGTGTATATACTATATTTTTCCATGTATAAGACACCCCCCTGTATAAGACGTCCCCCCCACTTTTCCAACCCAAAATTAAGAAATCAATATTTTAAACATTTTGCTGGTTTTCCTCTTAAGGCCTTCTTCGTTTTTGGCATCTTAAGAAGTTGTTCTTCCTGTTTTCTCCACTGTCTGATCAGACACTCAGTGGGAGGAGGTCCAAATTGTCTCTCTGCAGCTCTATTTCCATGCTCTTTTGCATAGCTGGTTACACTCAGTTTGAATTTTGCAGAATAAGACAATCACTTACTGGTATTTACCTTTTTATTTTTTGACATCTTTATGGACTCAGATGTTCCAATCCCTGTTGCATCTGCACACTCTCCACCTTCACCTCCACCTCCACCTCCAATTATGTCATCAGCTGATGTCAGTAACAATAAGGCTTGTGATTGGAGGAAGCCTGTTTGGCAAGGCATGGGCAGCTACGAACCTGTGCAGCTCCCTTCTCGGCTTACTTTCATGTATAAGACGCCCCTCCATTTTCAGTCTAATGATTTTAGGAAAAAAAAAAAATAGCATCTTACACACGGAAAAATACAATAATAGTCTATGTTGATCAAAGAAAGCTTTTTGAGGAAGTTGAACTTTTTGGGTTTTTTTTTTTATACCACTTTAATTTACTTTTCATTAAAATATAAGCCAGAGGAGGCAATTCTGTCCCTTTAACGTGGCAAAGGTGGCGGCTGGCCTTCTTCAAATCCATGAAGTGTTTCCAAGGTTACTTTTCCAGGTCCAGACAGGCTCCATCTCAGGGTCAAGAGAAGGTGTTCTAGGCTGCTCCCATGGATTGTTTCCCTAATTGCCAGTGTTGCCTATATTTGGCACAGTGAAGGGCCACAGGCGGAGATGGATCCATCATGATAGTAGCAATAAATAAAAACTCTGAATGTCACAAGTTGTACTTTGAGGAGATAGGCAGGTGAGAATGAGGTGAAAGGGGAAAATTCCAGACAGAAGGAATGAGATCATTAAAGGGAAACTGGAGAGGTAGTCAGCAGCTATGGGACAAGTTCATATTTATGATCAAATTGTATCCTATTATGTGACAGTAATATTGTGGGTTATGGTTTTTAAAAGTTCCTTTAGAGGTAAATGCTAAAATATTTATGGATGGTGTCTGGGATTTGCTTCAAAATAATTCAGTGGCAGGATGGGGTCCAGAGTAGGTGGAGCTATAAATGAAGCAAGATTTTCCAAATGAGTTCATGTTTATTGAAACCAAGTGATGGGTACCTGGGGGGTTATTATACTAGTCTCCCTAGTTTTGTATGTGCTTAAAAATTTAAAAACTTGTATCCCGATCACATCTCCTGATGGTTGTGTGTGTTCATGTTTGAGGTCACATCACATTTACCTCTTCCTGCTGCACTACAGACAGTAGAGCAGTGGTTCTCAACCTTCCTAATGCCGCGACCCTTTAATACAGTTCCTCATGTTGTGGTGACCCCCAATTTCATTGTTACAAATTGAACATAATTAAAGCATAATGATTAATCACAAAAACAATATGTATTTATATATGTTTTTCGATGGTCTTCGGCGACCCCTGTGAAAGGGTCGTTCGACCCCCAAAGAGGTCGCGACCCACAGGTTGAGAACCGCTGCAGTAGAGGTTAGTGACATCTTTTGGACAAGGGGATGGCATCAGTTTTATATTCCAGCAAATGTAAAGGCATCTCAGATTCAAATCACCTGGCTAACATAAAATAGAGTATTTGAGTAATTTTCCTTTGCCTATTGGCTAAGGTGCTATATTGCATTATTTTTCATGATCATTTTTCACTAGTTGAGATGGTATCATATATGGTTTTCTATATAGTAGAATCATATGAGGTGTTTCACCTGAGAGTAAGAGCCAGTGAAAGGATCCTGTTTAAATATTAGTTACTGGAATACTGAAAGAATTCTGTTATATGGCATTATATAATACTAGAGGCCCAGTGCACGAAATTGTGCGAGCATAGCTCGCTGCTGCTTGCCACCACTCGCCACCCTGCCCACGGCCTGCCACCGCGAGCCATGAGCCTCCCCACTCGCCTGCCACCAAGAGCTGTGAGCCACCCCACCCACCCACCCGCTCCCTCGAGCTGCAAGCCACCCTGCCTGCCACTGTGAGCCACGGTTCACGGGCGGGGGGGCGGGGGGGGGACCGAGAGGTGGTCAATGCACCTCATGGTGACTGGTCAAGTGGTAGTTCTAGTTGTTACACTAATGATCCCTGGCCTTTTATTATATAGGGCGGACAGAATTAGAATGAGTGTATGAGTTCAGGAAGGCAAAAAATAAAGTAGCAGAGATGGGAATCCCCCTTTGAAAAATTCTGGGTCAGCTTGCTACAGCAATAAAGCATTATGGATTTCTTTGATTACATTTTCCTTTGACTCATGTTATTTTGAGGTGGGTCAGACTGTGGAATTAAAGCAGGGATGGATAGATTTTATGAGTCAGGGACAAGATTTTAGAATTTTTTTTCAGGAGCGGGCACCTGGCGCTGATGTTGAAGAGATGATGCTTCATGTTTATAACTGTTTCAATGTTAGGCTACTGGGGGAACCATATTTTGAGATTTTGATTCAGCTCTTTCTTGAAAATAATTTTGCCATCAAATTGAGTCTTTCTCCAACCCCTAATAAAGACTTCACTAGAGGCAGATATATGCAAATTATATTTCCCCCCTTAAGCCAAGGCTAAATAAAAGGGGGAAATTATGAAAGATTGCTTATAGAAGCAAGGATTTTCAGTGCTCAAAGATGAATTTGGTTATTGTGAAACTATGATAAGTCTCCTTGTCAGTGTAAAGTAGGAAAAGAATAAAGTAATGGGGAAAGTGAACCTGGGCACAAACATGTTCTCACACAGCATTTGTGCTAAAAGCGTTGTTGTTGTTCCCTGAACCTTGGCAATTACAGGCACTTTCCTCTGCTTTGAAAAAGGTTTGGCAAATGAGAGGTTCCCCCCTTTTGTGTTCAGGCTGAGTTTGGCTTTGTTGCAGGGAAACACTAATTCCCAACTGTGCTCCCCGGGAGCAAATGGTTTGTTTTCTCTTCACTGAATCCAGCCTGGGGTGGGTTCTCACAGGCCAGACTGGCATAGAAAATCTATTTGGAGCAGCCTGTCCCCAGGAGGGAGGAAGGCAAGCTGATTGTATGGGGGAGCTGCAGCCACCATGCTGCGAGGGCGGGCCTTAACACGCAAAAAAGACACACACAGAGCCCAAGGCAAGCACAAGTCCCATTTGTGTGCCAACACCCACATGTACCACACACACTAAACTCCACCCCATACACCAGGCATGCACCCGATATGCCACACACATACCACACACCATATCTACCCACACACCATGTACACACGAATACACACATATGCAACTATGCACATACCACACACACCACATACACTCTACTACACACATACACACCACTCACACTCCACATTGGTCATAATACATCCATGCCACAAACACATGTATACACACACCTCATCACACACACTCCACATAACAGTCACATGCACCACACACATTACACACACATACCCACACTCACACCGCAGGTATCATGTATTCATTTAACAACACATCCAACTACGCACATGCCCGCCACACAAACTCCATGCAAAAATCAAACATCCACACCAAACGACACACACATTTTACATTCCAGTCCTGTGCACCACACATGCAACACATACACACACTCCACAGCATCACAGGCATCCAGCCTGGACTACAGCCCTAGGCGGGTGGACCCGGGTTATTGCAGGCGGGTGCCAGGCGCGGGTGCGGGGCTGGGGTTTCCCGCGTGGGGGCGGGGACTCGCGGCTTTCTGGGCAGGAGGGGCTGTGCACAGGGCCCGAGGCAGGTGCTCGGGGAGTGCGTGGGTGTGGGAAGGTGCGCGCGCCTCCGAGGGGCTGTGCCCAGACACCCTGGGAGGTGTGTACGCGGGAAATGAGAGGCGCGCGTGGGGAGAGGCTGTGTGTGCATGAGAGAACCTCGCTGGCAGATGCCAGGGATCAGCCCACTGAGCAGCACGGATGGGCGTGTCCTCGGTGCGCGCGGCCCGCCATGGAGGGTGGGTGTCAGTCCTCGAGATGACCCAGATCGAAGGGAAGTGTGCGTGGGAAGTGTGCGTGTAAACTGGTGTGCGTGTGGAAACCAAGCCGCCAAGGCGTGTGTGTATTCATAACGGTCCTCCATCGGAACGAGTGGGTGTGTGGCGAGGACTCGCTGCGACTGGAGGGCGCGCCGACGCCCGCGCCCCCGCGCGGGGTGTGAGTGAGGAGGCCGGTCTTGCGGAGGGACGCGCGGCGTGTCTCCCCCGCCCCCACCCCCGCTGGCCGGCGCCTGTGTGTGCGCGCGTGCGCGTGGGGCGCGCCGCGGCGGAGGGCGGGCGGGAGGCGGCGGCAGGCCCAGCCCCCGGTCGCAGAGCCCGGGGCGGCTCCTCGGCGAGCTGGGACCGCCGCGCTGCCGCCGCCGCCGCGCGCTGGCGTGATTCCCGGCCCGCGCCGCGCCCTCCCGCGCTGCAGCCGACTCGGCGCCCTGTCCGCCCAGACGCCGCTGCTCCCGGGCTCTCGGTCTCGGCTCCGCGGAAGGCGAGGAAATGAGTGCGGCGGCGGCGGCGCCCGAGCGGGGTTGGAAGAGCGAGAAAGTGGACGAGGCTCAGGCCCTGGCGCGGAGTTGCGCCGCCCGCAGACCCGACTTCCAGCCGTGCGACGGGCTCTCCATCTGTGCCACGCACAGCCACGGCAAGTGCTTCAAGCTGCACTGGTGCTGTCACCTAGGATGGTGTCACTGTAAGTCCGGCGCGTCTGCCCGCCTCGCGCCGCGGTCCTGGCGTCCGCGGGGCCGTCGGGGTCGGGGCTGGGGCCGGGGCCGCGGGCATCTGGGCTTGGCCGGCGGCTCTGCTCAGGCTGGGGCCGCCCCGGGCTCCGGGCTCCGGGCGCGCGGCAGCTGCCCTCGCGCTGGGCGGCTCGGGTTGGCGCTGCCGTGGCAACGAGCTGAAATCCCCGTGGGGAGCGTCGCTTTAGCCACTTCTGCAAAAGGGGATCTCCCCGTCCCGGGAAAACTGGAAGCTATTTTTTTCTTTTTTTAAACCGAAACGATCAGGGAGTGTGTTGAGAAATGGTTGAGAGCCTTCGGGAGTTGATGGCAAACGGAGAGAGAGGAAGGCTTTTTTTCAAGACTAGTGGTTGAAGATGCCTCTCTTTCTCTCTCACTTTCGTCTTTCCGGGTAGTTCCTTAAGAGAAAGAGCCTTTGGAAATCGAATGGTAGCGCATTTATTGCATCCAGCTGAGAAAGCGCTACAGTGAGGGACTGCTTCCAAGAAGTTAATATTAACAGTTTGGAAAGGGGAACTCCTTAAATAGCCAGCTGCAGCATATAGAGCCAATGTATGAGACTTTTAAAATTACAAAGTAAAATGAACGAAAGTAATCTAAATAATCTTACCAATTTGTAAAAGCCGGGACTAAAGGATCTAGGCCTTTTCTCTCTGTTTATCCTGCATGGGGTTTTGAAAAGGGATTAAACTTAAGCAGTCATTTAATCAGAATTTCACAATTTGATTAGTTCATGGTATTTGTCCTGCTATCCCCGATGAATCATTTATTAGAAATATATTGCAAACTTAGTTTCTACATAACCTTATAATAGAGGGTTTTGGAATACTTATTTAAGACCCAAATTCTTGAAGTGATCTTAAGTTAAAAATTTTTCCTTGTTGGTTAGAAAAAAAAAAAAATGGCTCCCAACAAGAGATGCAGTAGATAATAAATCCTTATTACATTAATTGAACAAAATGGAATATTTTTAAATGAGTTTGTGACTTAAAGGACAGATACTTCTTACACTTATTTTACAGTAATACCGTCTTACATTTATTTAACAGTATTGATTTTTTGTGTTCCGTGATCTGATGGGTCCGCTTCTTCCTATATCTCATTATTCCTATCGCTCTCTGATCCATCCCCAATTATAAAACATCGCTTTAGTGTGGGACAGGGTACAAAGTTGGAAGTAGCAACTGTAGGAAATCAGTGATGCTGACGTACACAAGTAGGATGAATCTGGCGAGAGTCCGTTTCCCCGGGGAAGTGTGGAATGGTAGTGCAGAATGTGGGAAACGTCAAAGACCGTCCAGTTCAGCGCTTGTCTTACTCCAGCGTTCTCCCTTCTAAGTGCACCATTAGTGATCAGAAGCTTGCCGTCTTCTCAGGCGGCTGCTCCCTTCATTAGAGAGCTGTGACTCTTAGAATATTACTCTTCCTTACATGGAGCTGAAGTTGGTTACTTTCTAACTTCTTTCCATTGCTCCTGTTTCTACCTTATGAAATCATATAGAGCAATCCAATCCTTTTTTAGAGCATGGCTGTTTCAGCTCTTTAGATACACACACATGAATTTCTCACTGGCATAGACTGTTTTCTCTCTGTATCCCAAGCCGCTCTCGTAATGTCTGTACGGAAATCGGTTTGAAATTCATTTTTGTTGAAGGACTGAATGAAGGTAGCCATCATTTTCTTCAGAAGGCATCGCTTTGTCCTGTGTATAAATATCCGTTTCCTTGTGTCTTTCCTTTTATGGGGTAGTGTCCAGGCTCATAAGCATCCTGATTGTTCTGTTCTGAATATGTGCCAATAAGGTTAAGATCCTTTGAAGACTGTGACCCCTAGAAAGGCACACACTATCCAGCTGTGGTCTGATCAGTCCAGAGGTGAGCAGGACTCCTGTCTCCCATGCTTGAGATATTACTGATGCTGCAACATGCATCACATTAGCTTTTCTGATATCCACATCCTATTGAGCTTGCTGCCGTCAGATTGAACTAAAACTTGTGGTCAACTAAACCATTGTTTGTCTTACACATGTGGCGATTAAATCACGGCACTTGCCCATTTCACAGTTGTATGTATGTGTTTGGACACAGGTATTAATTGACCCCTTAGGTATTTTTCCCTATTAGATTTCATTTTATTAGAGTGAGCCCATTTTCCTGGCTTATCATTGTGTTTGTAGATCCTGGCTCTTTTCATAATATATTTTATGAGCCCCCTAGTTTCATGTCAACTGCACATTGGATGCCAACAGTAGTATAGTAATCTTCTACATACTCATTCAAGTTATTGATAAAATTGTTGAACAGGAGAAGGCCACAGATTGAGTCCCGAGGCTTGTCAGTGGACCTGCCCTTCAGGTGGAGAGCAGTTCATTAATGAGCACTTGTTATGTTCATTCAAACAATTGCCTAGCTACATAATTGTACTGTTAGCCATCTTATGTTTATCTTATCTGTATGGGTATAATAAGAACCTGGTCAAATACCTTGTTGAAATCCGACCTACACACCATTTTTACTGCTTTTTGATGTATGATCTATTTATAAACACTCTTAAAAAATGAAAGGAAATTAGATTAGTATAATTCAGGTTGGTTCCACAAATGCTTACCACTTTCTTTGCTAAGCAATTGGAAGCTATTTTTTAAGTAAATAACCTGAATTTAGAAAAAGATTGATGTCAAGTGTACTTGGATTGTTGTTGGCAGTTCTTTCCATTAGAGAGAGAGAGGGGGGTGGGGGGAGAGAGAGACCTACATTTATTTGCTCTTTTCCATTCTTTGGCAACCCTCTGAGTTTCCATGCTTTTTTCACTGGCAGTGATTCAGTGATCCCATTCACAATGCACTTTGTTTCATTTAAAGCACCAAGATACTACATTATTGGTCTCCTCACCTGTACTCTGGGCAGGGCATCAGTGTCCCATCCCCGCCCCCTGCTTTTTTTTTTTTTTTTTACCCAAATATAATTTTTCTTGAAAAGAAGTAGAAGTTCTAGTTGAGAAGTTCTATTTTCTTTTTGGCATTCACAAGCATTACATCAGTCCTAAGCAGAATTCCTTTAATTCTGTTGAACATGTAATTCTGTTGAACATGTCTCTTTGTGAGACATTGTTATGGACATTAGGAATACAAATATGGATACAGGTGGATCTCACCCTTTAAGCAGGCTATAAGGGCATAATTCATGCTGTATTTATTTTTGTATTCCTTTTAAATCACAAATGATATGGGTGAGAAAACATATCAGCTTGTTCACCAAATCAGAAAATGTGAAAGTGAGAAGATTACCTTGATGCTTAGGAAATTCAGAACAAATAAAGGAAGCTTAGTTTTATATGGTCGACATTAAACTTGTGAAATTCATAAACTTATGAAACAGAAAAGGATGAAAATATATGAATTCATAAAAAACTTTTAAATTTATACATTCAGTATATATTTATAGATTCAGTGCTTAATGTATGATTAAAGGAAATCATTCGTGTATTTGGATAATAATAGATTTTTAAGGACCATCCATGCCTGGAAGGGGAAACTGTAATATGCTGTGTTAGTCACTGTCAAAGATAGATTATTGGCTCTGAATCTGAAACTTTATTTTTTCCCTACAAAGAGTGGTATTGTGTTGAATTAATCAGTGAAGGATTCTAAGAGGAATTTTTTTAAATATATGTTTTTTTTAAAAAAAATTGATTTCAGAGAGAAGAAATCAAGGGAGAGGAAGAGATAGAAACTAAATGATGAGAGAGAATCATTGATCAGCTGCCTCCTGCACCCCCCCCATTGGGGACCAGGCTCAACATCTAGGCATGTGCCCTGACCGGGAATTGAAACAGGGGCCTCCTGGTTCATGGGTTGATGTTCAACCACTAAGTCACACTGCCCCCGGCCAGGCCAAAGAGGAGTTTTGAGAGAGAAAAAGACATGGCTTGTTCAATGAAGAGGGATGGGAGAGAATAAGTCATATGCAGATATTGTAAAGTAGATTTTTGTGGCTGGAGTAGATAGAATATTTAATATAGGAATAAGAAATTGTATTGTTGAGATGTGAGTCGAAGTTATAAACAGGAAAGGTGGGGAAATCAGGAATTTCATTTTATGGAGACCTTGCTATCATAGTGATAACATGGATAGTAGGGGAATAAAACTAGCAAAGGATATTATTTTGGTATTAGTGTAAAAAATAGATTGAAATTCATGCAACAAGATCCATATAATGGAATAGATTAGATTTGGAGGGGGAGGAAGGCTATAAAGGACTTGTAGAATTCTGTGTTATGCAACTTGGTTGGATGGTGGTGACATCTATGCACTAACAACCGAATACTGGAGAAGAACTAGGTTTGTTGATCCTGAATCCCGAATCCAGTTTGGATCATAAATTCAGGAAGACCATGGATCTAGTTTTGGATCTATTGAGTTTAGCTTGCCTTGTCATCACCCGGTGATGACAGTTGGCTACAGTGGTCTAGAACTGAGGAGAGGTCTGCACCAGAGGTAATATGGAAGTCATTTACCTATTTATAGATTGCAGCTTTAGCCTTGAGGAAGCATGAGATCCACCAAGGGAGAGACTATAGTATAAGAAATGAAGAAAATACTTAGCTTTTCCTTTAGAGCACTAACATTCAGAGTCTGGCTATAGGAGGATGAGCTGGCAGTAGAGTCTAAGAAGAGATGGCCAGAGAAGAAAAATCTGAAAAGTATCATACTGCAGAAGCCAAGGGAAGTGAATATTTTAAGAAAAAGTATGAAGATGAAATCAGTTTTCAGCAGGTTACTTATTTCTTAGATATTGGTGAAATATACAAATAGTCATTTTATGACTGAAGAAGAGTATGAAAGTTTTAGTCCTGCAACACCAACTTCAGAAATACATTTAATTGCAGTATTAGTCAAAGCTATTCA